CTGGCCCCAGTTCTTCACTCTTTCCAAGTCCACATCTTTTCCCATTTAACTTGTAGTCCCCTCCACAGAGAGTGAAGTCACCTGCTATTCTACTTGTCATTCAGTTCTGCTATGTGACTTGATTTGGCCAATAGGATATTAAAACATTACATGAGTGATGGCTTGACCTGGGCTTGTGCATTCGGACTTGCTCTTTTGTATTCCTGCCATTGTCCAGAGAAAGACAAACCAAGGCGAGTCCAGTGGTCTCTGAAGCAGTATGAGAGTTGGAGTAGAGCTGAGTTGTCCTACAGTCCCTACACTATGGTAGCCTATGTCAACCCATAGATGTATGAGCAAGCCCAATTAAGGTCACTCTGAGCCCAGGTGAGGTCAGCCAGCCTTGGCCTTATGACTTGTGAGGTAATGATGAATGGGTGATACTTTAAGCTACTACTTTTTCTGTGCTTTCAACACAACAGTAGCTAACTGATAGTAGCTGGTCTTCAGATTTGACTAAACTCTGATTTCCTTTACTGGCTTTTAAATTCAGGAATGGAAGAGAGTACTCTTTATCTACTTGTACCTTATGTTCCCTCCTCAACTCATTGCATGCTGCCTTTTGCACACTCCAGTACTAAGCTTTTATGATCTCTCAGCACAGCTTGACATTGTTGATCTCTATATGCTTCCAAAATTTTCTTTTAGTTTGTTACTTTTCTTTCTCTCTACTTTGTGTGTATGTACATTCTTTTATGCTTTCTCCTCTTTTAGTTTTCTAGAGTTCTTCCCTTATTTATTTTCATCAGTTAATCATACAGAATCTCTCTATATTAACTAGTTTATCATCATTATTTTCATTGCCACTGCTAAAAACAACACGGGATCATATTCAATATTAGTAATCACAATAAATGTCATTGGACTGAATTGTCACAAAATAATGGAGATGGCCAATAGACCTTTGACACCGGCAGAAGGAATACACAGAAATATATTTATGATATTTTGATATCTTTATGATGATTCTTATTGAGTTGTGCATTCTTTCAGGAAGTGTTAGTATATAGAATATATAAAGAATTTTCTTAATTAAATAAGGGAAAGATAGCCTAAAAAGAAATTGCATAGATGAACAGACAATTTGTAAATATAAAAACTAGAATTTTTAATAAACATATGAAAATTCATTACTTTTCACAAGTTAACAAAGAAATCCACAAGGTAGCACTATGAAACATTTCACCCTAATCCTAATGACTAAAATGAAATGTTATGTCTATACCAAATTGCAGAGAAACAAGAAAGTTCATAAACTTCTAGTGGGAATATAAATTTACGTAATTCGTAGGTTTTTAGCTTAACATTATCTTGCTAATTTAAAGATGCATATATAATGTAAATTCCAGTAATCCCACTTGCAGATTTAGTCTAGGATAGTAGTCAGCATACTACAGCCCATAGGCCAAATCCTGTCAGCTGCCTATTAATGTCAGCAGTGTTTTATTGGAACATAGCCATGTTCAATTTTTGCAATCTATGGCTGGTTTCATACTACAGTATCAAAGTTGAGTAGTTGTGATACTGATATGGCCCACAAGTTCTAAAATGTTTATTAACTGGTACTTAATGGAAAAATCTGCTGACCTCTGGTCTCTTATACCTTTGTACTAAAAGTGTTAAATAAGAATGCTCATATAAAGGAGACCCGCAAAAGCCCAGAATTTATTCATATAAAATTGTGTATTTATTATTACACTTTTAAACTTCAGTCACCCTCAAAGTATTCTCCATTTGACACAATACACCTATAGAGATGCTATTTCCACTGCTCAAAACAGTTTTGAACTCATCAATTTTGATGCCATTTAGTGCTTCTACTGTTTTTTGTTTGGCCTCTTACACATTGGCAAAACATTTCCCTTTGAGGACTTTTTCATCCAGGGAAACAAAAGGCACTCAGGGCAAGATGGGGTGAATAGGGAGGGTGGGGCACAGGGCTCATGCTATTTTTGGTGAAAAACTGCTGAACACTCAGTGTGATGTGGGCAGGTGCACTCATAAATCACCCATCATGAAATGGCAAATATGTTGAAAGAATCTTCCCCCTGCCCCGAAAAAAATTGATTGAAGCTGAATGCATCCTCTCACAACAATGCTAGCTGGTACACTGATGCCATGGCTTTCTAGAACACTTACTTAGTGGGGGAAGCCTGTACTACAAGTGGCCCACCCTCTGAAAGATAATTCTGGTATTTTAGGGGTCCCTCCTCATAGCAATATCATTTGCGACAGTGACAAATTGTAAATAAGAAAACTATTTAACGATGAGGAAAAAGATGAAAATTCTTCCAATAAAATGCTATCTATATAGTAGTGATAATGAATTAAGGTGCAAGAGGTATTGCTATGAATAAATTCCAACAAAATAATCTAAAAAATGGAAGTGTAAAAAATATCACACTATGATACCATTTATATATATACATGCTTAATATGTGACACATGATACATACTTTTATGTAGTAAATGTGTAAGTATATGTATGAGAATGATATATACCAAATTCAAGGTAATTATTTCCTTAGAAGAGGGAAGGCTTCAATGATATTTATGATGACATTTTTGCTAGATGAGGATTACAAGTGTCTGTAATAGTCTTTATATTCTTGTTTATGTGTGGAAACAAAAACAAATAAAACACAAAAGAAAACCACAGTCCCTTTCATAGTCGGACTGTAACGATTCATAGTCTGCCTTCTAGCTGGGAGGCAGCAGAACAAATGTATAATTGCAGTAGATGATTTTTCAGGAAAGGAGAACTTTATAGAGACTGAAAGAGCTAACTGTATTCTTTCCAGGTGTTCGAGGAACTGGGGAGGAATAGCAAAAAGTGGGAATTAAAATTGCCTAGAGCATCAGATGAGTTTGCATGGTGGGGGTGAAAGTCCAAGACAAAGGTCATGTTGGATAGATTGGCAGGGCACACCTGGAACACTGTGAGCACTCAGAGACAGTGTTTCTGGAAACAACTTTTAAAACAAGATCACCTAGCCGGGCTCGGTGGCTCAGCCTGTAATCCCGCGCCTTTGGGAGGCTGAGGTGACTGGATCGTCTGAGCCTGCGGGTTTGAAACCCACCTGGGCAACTTGGCGAGACCTCATTTCTACAATAAATCAAAATTAGTCGGGTGTGGTAGCGTGCGCCTGTAGTTCCAACTACTTGGAAGGCTGAGGCGGAAGGATCGCCAGACCCCAGCAGGCGAGGCTGCGATGGCCGGGAGCAGACACTGCACTCCAGTCTGGGTGACAGAGTGAGACTCCAACTCAAAAAAAGAAAACAAAACAAAACAAAAAAACAAGATCACCTGAAACTTTCTGTTTCTGTTTGTAAACTTTAAATATCTCCTATGTGGTTGGTCTCCAGGAAATAATTGTTGCTTCAGTAGCTTCTGAAACAGATTAGACATACTCTCAATTTACAGAAAGGGAAAAATAAAATGTTGAAGTTTTAAAGTTTGAAAATGCCCTCAACTTGCTTAGAAAAGTAAATGCCATGTGCATTTCACAGCAGGCTGAGATCTGAGGGACCCCAGGTAGAAATATTTACACAAAAACTTTTCATAGTGCGAAGACTTGTCTCTCAATTCAGTTTTGCTTTTTTGAGGTTTGTTTACATGTAATTAAACATTAAAAAAAAAATAGACTGCAGAGAGTGAGGGTGGATTAGGTTATGGAATTCGGCTCCAGGGATGAACAATGCAGGACCATTATTCATTTGCTGTTCGTGTATCATTGCTTATGGTTGACACCTGGCATTATCATCACTGATTCCATTTTTGAGGGATCATTGGGGAGCTTGATTCACATTTTTTTACAGATGATTTGATATTTTACAAGTATATGGCATTTTTAATCTGCCCTTTTTTGCAAACAATTTTAATTTAGTGAAGTTGCCAATTGCTGCAATGTGATTTTCAAACATGATGACTGTGGTTTTGTGCTCAGATGACAGTGTCTGAATTTTTAGTATGAGGTGTGTTGTTGAGCATTTTAATTATTTATAATGTTAGTTTATACAAAGATACATAGACAAAAAATTTAATATCTAATAGACTGAAAACGTTGCTCACAATTGTAAATTGTTTATCTAATCTAAAATGTTTGCATTCTCTTAAGAAAATAGAGGGTTAAAGAGAGAAACAGAGACAGAGAGAGAGAGAAAGAGAGATAAAGACTTAGCTAAGTCAAAGTATTAGAGAATAATAATAGAGGAGTTGATCACTAGATGGTCTGTTCAAATATTTTAAGGTACATTTTAACATGGTGTTTATTTGCAAGATATTTGTACTATAAATATTCTGATGACTTGTAAAGTACTTACTTGTATTACAGCCCATTTTATAAGTAACCTTCACTGAAGTTAGCATTCTCTAATAAAGTCTTGCTAACAATATGATATGATTAAAAAAGAAATACAATATTCTACCATTTCTCTGGCAACGAGAGTTGATGATACATACAGAGATGACAGGATGCTTAAGTGTTGTTGTTTTATCTTTATTCTTACTTTTAAATTTTTTAATAGTTTTATTTATTTACTTTTTGCTATCGAGAAGGCTGCCTGCTCATTTTTTCCTTGAAGTAAACTACTTAAAACAATCCACCCAAACAGTGATCAAGCATATCTCTCTTCTCCAGACACTTCTAAACTGTTGGATACAGTAAAGCTTTCACTAAGACCTTGTTCAACTGAAAGAGGCCAAATGATGTAAATGTATTATTATTTTTCTTTTCCCAAGAATGCAACGCTAGTTGTATGAATATACATTATTCCCCATCGTAAGTGGCAACATATGCTGATGAGCTAAAGAGGTGCTCTTTCTGACTCAAAATTTAGTTCTTTCAATATAGCTGTCTCTTTAAAGCATTTAGAATATGATTTTTATTTTGGAATTTTATAGTGTCCTGTTGTGTCTGAAATGTTAACTATTTTCAAAGGAATGTTATTTTAAATTTCAGGAATATACAATAGATGTCTTCTTTCGACAAAAATGGAAAGATGAACGTTTAAAATTTAAAGGTCCCATGAACATCCTTCGACTTAACAATTTAATGGCTAGCAAAATCTGGACTCCAGATACCTTCTTTCACAATGGGAAGAAATCAGTAGCTCATAATATGACAATGCCAAATAAGCTGCTTCGAATCCAAGATGATGGGACCCTACTGTATACCATGAGGTATGTTTCTGTGTTTGGTGTGCTCAATTTATGTACTGAGAAATTCATGTACTGAGCAACCATCTGGTTGTCAAATATTAGCACAAAGTGGACTATATCCTAACAGATTTTAAACTACCTGTAATATAATTTGTAAATGCTTGGGTGTTAAAAAAATATATATAAAACAGTATTCATGAGTTTGATTCTCATCTTAGAGTGTTAAATCTTTTTTTTTTTTTTTTC